TTGAAGGCATCGATTCGGCCGGAAATCGTATTGAATCGCAAATATCTGCCGAGAATAGTATCGCACCATTGCTTGCATTCAATCTACACTTCGATGATTCGGCCGATAATCTGATCCTTAAAGCGCTATCCAAAAGACGAAACGCCAGTCAATTGACTGAGAATTTGATTTCGTACTTGAATTGGGAGGAAGACATCACTCATGTCTGCTCCGGGAGTCGACAACAAGCGGACCGACAGTCTAGTGAAGCGAAACCTAATTCCGCTCTTAAGTTGTTAATAGAAATGTTTGGAAACGCTATCACTTCTAAACTCTTCTATTATAAGTAAGTGACCATTGATTTGATATTATTATTAATATGATTAGTACTGATATTTTGTATCATTTGAAGTGATGTTCGCGTTATTATTGATATAATTATACGTCAATTAAATAATCTTCCGATTGGAGACAAAGTATGTTTGAATTTGAAATGTGCTAATCATTTATACTAATTGTTACATCGATTGTTTTGTTATTTGATTGTTTAGATGATTGGCTATTATTTAATACTGATTTTGAATATAATAAGAAATACTGAATACAAAGACGAACCCCACAAAAGTCAAGATTTGGTTAAATGCATGAAAAGCATTGAAGGGCACGAATGGAGCCGAGAATCAGATTTAAAACTTGTTTCTCTTATTAAAACTGAATTGCCGTCACTTTTCAATGGTCTGTGATTTTAATCCTCTAATTCTCTGGTTCTCTGTTATCCTTATATACAAAACTCGTGTAATTATTGACTCATTTACTGATTTAATTATGAATTTTAGTTTGTTTTTATTTTGTTGAAATAAAAGTTTATTTTTGTTTATTTTTATTTATATTTATATCGTTTATTATAATTATTTAAGAATTTTAAAGAATTAATTTATGTATGAAATATACAGTACTTTCTCTCAATTATAAATTCTCTCATTTATATAGAACTAAATATTATTTCTATAGAAAAATAAGTTGATTGTATGTTCACTGAAAGGATTGATTGAAATTGTATTAGATTTATATAATCCTTGATACACTTTATTGTGTATATGCTAAAAAATTGGTGCAGCATTTGGTTGAATATACTGTATATCAGAAATTAATTTTACATTAATTATTCAATTATTGAATGTATTTAAATATGAATCCAATTCTATTCATCCATTTTATATAAGATTATANTTTAAATATGAATCCAATTCTATTCATCCATTTTATATAAGATTATATTCGCAAACAATTCCTCATTTCTTTGCATAGCGTTATATTCAATGCTTGTGTTGTGTATCAAAAAATGTATTCATTTTAAGAGAGATTTATTTTAAGTTATTTATCAAAAACATAGCATTTGTTGGGAGTAAGTGAGGACATGAAGCAGTGCTGCAACCGGTACTCAGATTCATATTTTAATACTAAAATTTAGTAACTAAATGATTGTCAGAATATAATTTAAAATTCGTATATATTTTACTATTGATTACAACAATATGTCTGTAATTGTGTTTAAATATCTTTAATTTAGTGTTAAATTTAATGTCTAAATGTATGAATTTAAACACTTCGGGCGATACAGAAGCGAAGGGTTCAGTCACTGTCTGCCGCCTCTTTCGATGACCGGCGCTCTTCCGAAGAGACGGAGGACACGATCCGAGAGAGAGTCGAATCTATGGTTACATTTGATCGCAAGAATTCCCAAATGGATTACAATGAAAGAAGTGATTCACCCGAAAGTGAGATGAAGTTATTTATGGGACTCTGTTTACCAAAGACACTGTTCCTTATCTTCGAAGTGGAAGTAAGTGTTTTAAATATTAGTAAAGACTATCATTTGATGAATTGCTAATAGATTTGTATATTAAATACAGAGCGAAACACATAAGAAAACTAATGTTTCGGTAAAGTATGAGACAATGAAGTGGAGAACACATTTGGATCGGCTCTCTAACGATGAAATTATGATTAATAATGGACTCGAGTTTCATAACGACTCCAACTGTTTGTTTTGTTTTAGAAACAAAGGCTTCTCTCAATTGACAACTGAACGTAAATTAAAACAATTTTCGCATTTTTAAAAACTTGATTTTTAAATTAAATTTCTATTTTATTAGCGAATATAACGACGAATAACAATAACACTAATAATGTCTTAAGAACTCCTATGAATGAGACGTTGAATATTCCGCCGCAAGTACTTAATAGGCGGGAAATTCTGCGGTTTGTGACCAATTTGGGCGGCGCTGTGCACGCGAAACAGGCCGAACAGGGACTTCTCAAGTATGGCTAAGGCTTTCAATAGTTTGTCATTTAATTAATGATATGTTTTGTTTGCAATTAGTTTGAAGCAGAAGTGTTCGCAAGCATTTGAAGACATTTGTCTTTATTCCGAAGTGAGTCTTCAACTGTCGACTTATAATTTCCGAATGTCTGCCAGACGTTTCCTACAAGAACTCTTCCTCGACGTCCATTTCGATCAGGTCTCGAGTCTCTCATTCGCTGTCAAATAGTGAAACATTTTATAACGAATTGATTGTTTTGTGTCCAGATATACACCGAAGCGGACGCTATAGTGCGAGGACTGGCGACCCAGATATCGGATGCCGGTGTGAATGGTGTGAATAAAGTAACTAACACTTCAAAGTCAGGAGATAATTAAGATTCTGTGATTCGACAACAAGTGCCACAAAAAATGCATTACAAATACCAAAACATTAAGAATATAATCATTACTATTATTAGAAGTCCTCTTCAGAACGTGTTATCATATATTTAGGAAGACTTAGTTTTTTGGTTTAAAATTTATTTTTCACTCAAAAAGTGATGCAAACCTCTCTTCTCTCATCAATTGTACAGTATTTTTATTACTAATTGTTTTTAATTTTTAACCAATACTTATGTAATGGAATTAAATATTTGATATATAAATATATTATATAAATAGTGTAGTGTTTGTGATGCAAACCTCTGGTCCCAACAAACTCTATATATATTTCTATTGAGTTAATATATATTTTCATTTATTTGCGAAGAAATCAATTTAAATGTGATTTATTTTAATTATAATATAATAATAATTTAATTGTTATCATTTGTTATAGAGTTGAATAATAAATAAAAACAATAAATTTATTTAGTTTTATAAAGTAATCGATTTTTATATTTGAAAATGCGTTGAATTTGTGTTAAAAATATTGAATCTTCACAGAATATTCTTCATGAATGTATGACCATTAAATACACGCCTATTATATTGTTATACTGTACTGTAAATGGCATTATATTTACCGTACAATTATGTCTTGTATTCAACTTGTATTTACTGTCAATACAATGGCAAGTCTAGCATAGATTCAGTGGTCACTCAAGTGGTCTGGTTCAGCGCTTATCCGTTTGAATACAACTAATACTGTATATTAATTGAAATCCATTTTCAAATATAAAACATAACACAACATTGTATTGAAATTTTAAAAACATTTATTATTTAATTTGAAAACAATATATTCGGCTAATAGTAGTTATTCCCAGAATTTGAAGCCAATTGACCACTAATTTGGTCTCAATTAACAATTTAAATAAATGCATTTCATTCAATCGTTTTATTGTATTTATTTTAAATTAATTTCAAATTTCAATTCAAAAACACTTTTGGACTAATCATTCATTTCTAAAATCATATAACTTGTGAACTAATGTGTGAAATGTCGAGATTTTAGACATAATTATCGATACAATTAATTAATAGATAACTATAAGAGGGGAGAGAGAGTTAGTGCGAGGCCTGAACTAACGCTTCGCTCACTTCGACGGCAATCATGGCCTCGGCTTTGGCCACTTCTCCCGACGCAGAGTTCAGCTCCTGTTGGGCTTTAGAGAGGGCCTCACGCGCGGCACTGCTGTCCAGATTCTCCACCGGAACCGCCTCTTCGGCCAACACCTGTACCGACGAGTCTTCGTTGATGGTAACGGTTCCGCTGCTCACTAAACACACACAACAGACCATTCAATTTGTGGCCAAATATGTGGGCAAATACAGCGATAATTACCGAAGAATTTCTTAACGGTTCCCTCATTTTCATAGACAGAGACGACACCGGGTTTGAGGACAGCGAGAGTCGGGACGTGATTCGGCAAAATACCGAAACTCCCGCTAAACGACGGGACGTCCACTTGTTTCACGTCAACCGCCGCGTAAAACACCTGCGAAACGGATCCCAAAGACAAACAAATGGTTAATACAAAGAGATAAACAAATGGCAAACAATTAAACGCCTGAAGACCTGATAGGGAGACGAGAAGGTGAGCGGCATTCCGGACGCGTGTCTTCGGGACACATGTGTGGCCATCGATGACAGTCTGGCGGCGAACGACCGACTCATAGCTGATCTCAATACTCCAGACATTTGTCTTGTTTTCTTGCAATATCTTCCTCTGGATATCAATGCAATCGATGGATGCCTTTCAAGGATTATCTGTCCGTAAATAACGTGATTATTGTATCGACTTTTCGGTCCTTTTTATAACACAAAACTCAATGCGTTTTTTGCACTCAAAAAGTCATATATTTTGCAAACATTTCTCTGTTTTCAATGTTTGGGACGTTTTTATTGAACGGAAATATTGTTTTGATTTTGAATTTTTTGGATTCATTGATGAAAAGATGACATCAATTTGAAAGACAATAACACTGACCACCAGTTGATCCATGGCTTGTGTTGACGGCATTCGTATAATCAGCGCGATATAGACGGTGACTGTCGGGTGGGAAGCGATGACAACGATCTTGCGGTCGGTCTTCGAGTACGAGTCAAACGACAGCAAAGTATTGAACTTCAAAGTGGACGACAAGTTTGTGGTCATCAAAGTTTTAAATCTTTTTGGCATTGAATTCAATTGAATAATACATTTGCCGTCAAAAACGAGTGTAAAATAAGAAGAAAAAAATGTGAACAAGAATTCAATCAATTTGCAGACAATTTCTTTGCTTTTTAGTGAAAAGCCATACCTTTTGCATTTGTGTTGCCTTTCATTTCATTAATAGTGAACGCAATTTCAATTGCGATTATATAACACACCATTCATGTAATTCTTCGCTTACCTATTGTTTGCATCTATTTCTGATCCAAAGAAGCAGAAGAAGGTGAAGAGCTATTAGAAGATATGGCATTTCAGGGGCCGTCTTATGGATTAAGCAGAGAGTGTCAAAAAAAGGTATTTTTCAATCATATTTTATAAATTAAATAATTATTATAAACGCTAAATATTTAACAAAATGGTCATTAAGTCTCTGTTAAAGTTTGATATAAATCTGGCTTTGGAGGCATTGGATTGGGTGCGAGCGGTCACTAATCTGGCTCTGGAGGCGCCGAACGCCCAAAAAGGATTTCAGGATCAGTTTGATTTCGCCGACTGTCTCAAAGATGGTGTCGCTCTTTGCTGGTAATAACAGTATTTCATTTGACAAACTTTTAATTTCTGATTTAAAAGCAATTTTAACTGTTTTATAATGAAGTTTGTGTTAACACTTGTTTAGTCTCATCAATATTCTGAGACCCGATTCTGTGGTCAGAATTAACGAATCGAAAGCGCCGTTCAAACAGGTCTGCCATTCGTGTCAAAACAAAATCAATAAATCCAGAGCTCATTGACGAAAGGCATCATTACTCGAGTCTCTATGAGAAAAAAATATATAATTTAACACTAGATTTGACTTCAATTTTAAAGTCTTATGGCATAAAAGAGCGCTCCAGTAATGACATCATTACTATCCGTAAAATGATGTCTGGATGTGTTGACCCAAATCCGATTCAATTGAATTTGCTTTTCAAATCATTTAAATTATTATTATTTTATATTATTTATAAATCACTTGATTTTAATTTACAATTTTGTCTATAGAGGGAAAACTTAGAAATGTTTCTCAAAGGTTGCGAAGACTATGGATTAAAAAACTTTGATCTCTTTCAAGTTAGTATTATTCTAGGGTTAACAATGTTAACATGGTAATATTTACTTATTTATTCAGGTTAATGACCTTTACGAAAGAAAGAATCTGTATATGGTATGTATTGATCAATCATTCGCATCCTTTCACTAAACAAATACTTATTATTGACTATATGTTTATCATTTCAGTCATCTCTCTCTCTCTCTCTCTCTCTCTCTCTCTCTCTNTTGCTTTTAAATCAGAAATTAAAAGTTTGTCAAATGAAATACTGTTATTACCAGCAAAGAGCGACACCATCTTTAAGACAATCGGCGAAATCAAACTGATCCTGAAATCCTTTTTGTTGATTTATTGTTTTTATCAAAACTATTAATGAGAAGAAACAAAACCTTTTATTTAATAATAATGTTTTTGCCTCTCTATTGAAAAGGTGGTCAACTGTTTGTTTGCTTTGGGAGGACTGGTAGTGAAAGATTTGCTTTGCATCCAAAAGGCATTGCAATTAAGAGCACAACTGATTCTCGTTATACTTTAGGCGCAGAAAAACCGATTCAGAGGACCAGTGATTGGCGTCAAAATTGCCGAACAAAACAGAAGATGTTTTTCCAAAGAAGTCCTAAATAATAGCCAATCGGTAATTGGGTTACAATACGGCACTAATATTGGCGCAAATCAATCAGGTATTAGGTTTGGGAAAGGGGTGTCTGTTTGCCATATCGGCGCAAATTTAATCTCTATATCACAATCAGTGGCCATATATTGAATATGTTGTACATTTTGACCCCAGGTATGACACCCTATGGCGCCCCCCGACAGATCATACCCGACTACCGATGATTACAACCATTCTTCCGGTCATTCAATTCATTATTAAAGAACTGAATATTATTTCCGTTCTCTTCCGCAATACATCTCACAAACCAATTATGGTTAAGAATAGTGAAGAGATTAGTTTAGTTAAGTATCTTATTATTAATATTATTGAAATATAAATATATAAATTACTCATTTCAGAAATAAATAAAAATAATATAAATAATTTAATCTTATTATATTTTAATTTACACTTAAGTATGTAAATCTGTAATTTAAATTGTGATTTAATTTCTATAAATTTGTGTTAATGTCTGTATAACAACATTAGTTATCATTTTATATATGCTTAAAATTTAATATAAGACTGTTAGTAAATCAATTAAAATATGAATCTGAGTACCGGTTGCAGCACTGCTTCATGTCCTCACTTACTCCCAACAAATGCTATGTTTTTGATAAATAACTTAAAATAAATCTCTCTTAAAATGAATACATTTTTNACAATCATTTAGTATTAAAATATGAATCTGAGTACCGGTTGCAGCACTGCTTCATGTCCTCACTTACTCCCAACAAATGCTATGTTTTTGATAAATAACTTAAAATAAATCTCTCTTAAAATGAATACATTTTTTGATACACAACACAAGCATTGAATATAACGCTATGAAAAGAAATGAGGAATTGTTTGCGAATATAATCTTATATAAAATGGATGAATAGAATTGGATTCATATTTAAATACATTCAATAATTGAATAATTAATGTAAAATTAATTTCTGATATACAGTATATTCAACCAAATGCTGCACCAATTTTTTTAGCATATACACAATAAAGTGTATCAAGAATTATATAAATCTAATACAATTTCAATCAATCCTTTCAGTGAACATACAATCAACTTATTTTTCTATAGAAATAATATTTAGTTCAATATAAATGAGAGAATTTATAATTGAGAGAAAGTGCTGTATATTTCATACATAAATTAATTCGTTAAAATTCTTAAATAATTATAATAAACAATATAAATATAAATAAAAATAAACAAAAATAAACTTTTATTTCAACAAAATAAAAACAAACTAAAAATCATAATTAAATCAGTAAATGAGTCAATAATTACACGAGTTTTGTATATAAGAATAACAGAGAACCAGAGAATTAGAGGATTAAAATCACAGACCATTGAAAAGTGACGGCAATTCAGTTTTAATAAGAGAAACAAGTTTTAAATCCGATTCTCGGCTCCATTCGTGCCCTTCAATGCTTTTCATGCATTTAACCAAATCTTGACTTTTGTGGGGTTCGTCTTTGTATTCAGTATTTCTTATTATATTCAAAATCAGTATTAAATAATAGCCAATCATCTAAACAATCAAATAACAGAACAATCGATGTAACAATTATTATAAATGATTAGCACATTTCAAATTCAAACATACTTTGTCTCCAATCGGAAGATTATTTAATTGACGTATAATTATATCAATAATAACGCGAACATCACTTCAAATAATACAAAATATCAGTACTAATCATATTAATAATAACATCAAATCAATGGTCACTTACTTATAATAAAAGAGTTTAGAAGTGATAGCGTTTCCAAACATTTCTATTAACAACTTGAGAGCGGAATTAGGTTTCGCTTCACTAGACTGTCGGTCCGCCTGTTGTCGACTTCCAGAGCAGACATGAGTGATGTCTTCCTCCCAATTCAAGTACGAAATCAAATTCTCAGTCAATTGACTGGCGTTTCGTCTTTTGGAGTCGCGAAATTCCTAGTCTAATAGCCGGCTTAGTAGCTTCACATCTAACTTACGTTCGTTACCACGCTATGATAAGAGCCGTCTATAAACGCTAAGTTATGCTAAAGGCCGGCTTAGCTACGGAAGTTTCAAATCCAGTTCTTCGGTAATAAACTTTTCGTTTATATGTGAGTATATATTAATCGGTGGCTTATGTCCGGTACTGAAGATGGCGGTGAAGACCAGAGCGGCCGAACACCACCGCTCCGTATCGTCCATATAGTGCTGCATCTCTGCCACCAGTTCTGACGGCAATACAGACGTCAATATAAAGTCCGAAACCATGTCTTCAAACAGCGATATAAGACATATGAATATCGAGTATAACTTCATTCGCAAAGACCTTCGAGTTTCCATCTGATAGTAAGCGACTAACATATCTATCCTCTCGTAGTTTTGGCCACAGATCTCGTCCTTAATGAGCGCCGGATTGGCGTTGGATATGATCTGAAGCAAATGATCAAGGTAATCTCGGATCACCTCTTCGTCCCTATGGATCGGGTTATTCCTCTGCTGTTCGTCATTCTTACAGAACGACAACTTTCGAAACACAGACTTTAAGTTCACTAAATCCGAACTCTGGACCAAAGCGTTCGGGTTATCAGTATTTTTGGACAACTCATCCATTATTTTCACACAATGTGTACTCCATTCGGGAATCCGCTCTGAAAGACATTCGATGACAGTCTTGACGGTTAAAACACACATATTATGGTTCAAATCGGATGTAACTCTAACTCTTTCGATGAGTTCTGGAATCAGTGAATCCGATATTTGGATGCTTTTGACCGCACAATCAGTTTCGACAAATTTGGCCGCAGAAGTACTTTCACTCTTTATATTCACTTTATTTGGTATACAATTGGTTTCGCTTTTGGTTTCCACCACTTTGTCGGTGGCGTTGGGCTCGAAATGCTCGGCAACTCTCTCATCAATCAATTGTTGAACACATTGTGTCTCTTCTTCCGATTCATTGACATCCACTTCAGGTATGGGTTGCGGTGTCTTCTTCTTGAAGATCAACTGAACGACTTCGCAACGGATTTGAGCCAATTTTCTGCAAACAAAACACACCATTAGTTTGAGATACAAAGAGTCGGGTCGTGCGGTAGTGGACACACATCTGGGCGTGTTTTACTTGTCGATCGGTTATACCACTGGAATCGTTATGCTTTGAGTCCAACTGTTGGGCGATTGTGTCAATCAATAGTAATAAATCATTTTCTGGGATTCGCTATCAGAGAGAAAGACAATGAGTGGTGAGTAAGACATTGCGGCGACTCGTGATGGCAATGGGGTGACAGACCTGTTCCGGGACGACATAGTCTTTGGGAACGTAACCCAACTGTCCCTCAGTGTTGACACAATAGACCCAATCATATGGTTTGGTCTGAAACTACTGGTGTTTGAACAGCAGGTGAAACTTCAAGTTATGAAACGACAGCAAACTGAGCATGAGCTTCTGGCTGGCGTTCTAGCAACAGTAGCGAAGGGTGGGCTGTCAGTGGCAGATATAGCGCGTAATTATACGAATGCCGTCAACACAAGCCATGGATCAACTGGTGGTCAGTGTTATTGTCTTTCAAAATCGATGTCATCTTTTCGTCAATGAATCCAAAAAATTCAAAATCAAAACAATATTTCCGTTCAATAAAAACGTCCCAAACATTGAAAACAATAGAAATGTTTGCAAAATATATGACTTTTTGAGTGCGAAAAACGTATTGAGTTTTGTGTTATAAAAGGGACCGAAAAGTCGATACAATAATCACGTTATTTACGGACAGATAATCCTTGAAAGGCATCCATCGATTGCATTGATATCCAGAGGAAGATATTGGAAGAAATCAAGACAAATGTCGGGAATGTTGAGAACAGCTATGAGTCGGTCGTTCGCCGCCAGACTGTCATCGATGGCCACACATGTGTCCCGAAGACACGCGTCCGGAATGCCGCTCACCTTCTCGTCTCCCTATCAGGTCTTCAGGCGTTTCATTATTTTCCATTTGTTTATCTCTTTGTATTAACCATTTGTTTGTCTTTGGGATCCGTTTCGCAGGTGTTTTACGCGGCGGTTGACGTGAAACAAGTGGACGTCCCGTCGTTTAGCGGGAGTTTTGGTATTTTGCCGAATCACGTCCCGACTCTCGCTGTCCTCAAACCCGGTGTCGTCTCTGTCTATGAAAATGAGGGAACCGTTAAGAAATTCTTCGGTAATTATCGCTGTATTTGCCCACATATTTGGACACAAATTGAATGGTCTGTTGTATGTGTTTAGTGAGCAGCGGAACCGTTACCATCAACGAAGACTCTTCGGTACAGGTGTTGGCCGAAGAGGCGGTTCCGGTGGAGAATCTGGACAGTAGTGCCGCGCGTGAGGCCCTCTCGAAAGCACAACAGGAGCTGAACTCTGCTTCGGGAGAAGTGGCCAAAGCCGAGGCCATGATTGCCGTCGAAGTGAGCGAAGCGTTAGTTCAGGCCTCGCACTAACTCTCTCTACTCTCTTATAGTTATCTATTAATTAATTGTATCGATAATTATGTCTAAAATCTCGACATTTCACACATTAGTTCACAAGTTATATGATTTTAGAAATGAATGATTAGTCCAAAAAATGTTTTTGAATTGAAATTTGAAATTAATTTAAAATAAATACAATAAAACGATTGAATGAAATGCATTTATTTAAATTGTTAATTGAGACCAAATTAGTGGTCAATTGGCTTCAAGTTCTGGGAATAACTTTACTATTAGCCGAATATATTGTTTTCAAATTAAATAATAAATGTTTATAAAATTTCAATACAATGTTGTGTTTTATATTTAAAAATGGATTTCAATTAATATATGAGTTGTATTCAAACGGATAAGCGCTGAACGAGACCACTGTTGAGTGACCACTGAATCTATGGCACACTTGCCATTGTAGTGACAGTAAATACATGTTGAATACAAGACAATTGTAAACATAATGCCATTTCAATATACTGTACAGTATAACAATATAATTGGGGTGTATTTAATGGCCATCCATTCACGAAGAATATTCTACCAAAGAATATTCTGTGAAAAGATTCAATATTTTAAACACAAATTTAACGCATTTTCAAATATAAAAATCGATTGCATTATAAAACTAAATAAATTTATTGTTTTTATTTATTATTCAACTCTATAACAAATGATAACAATTAAATTATTATTATATTATAATTAAAATAAATCACATTTAAATTGATTTCTTCGCAAATAAATNGATTGCATTATAAAACTAAATAAATTTATTGTTTTTATTTATTATTCAACTCTATAACAAATGATAACAATTAAATTATTATTATATTATAATTAAAATAAATCACATTTAAATTGATTTCTTCGCAAATAAATGAAAATATATATTAACTCAATAGAAATATATATAGAGTTTGTTGGGACCAGAGGTTTGCATCACAAACACTACACTATTTATATAATATATTTATATATCAAATATTTAATTCCATTACATAAGTATTGGTTAAAAATTAAAAACAATTAGTAATAAAAATACTGTACAATTGATGAGAGAAGAGAGGTTTGCATCACTTTTTTATTTATATAATATATTTATATATCAAATATTTAATTCCATTACATAAGTATTGGTTAAAAATTAAAAACAATTAGTAATAAAAATACTGTACAATTGATGAGAGAAGAGAGGTTTGCATCACTTTTTTGAGTGAAAAATAAATTTTAAACCAAAAAACTAAGTCTTCCTAAATATATGATAACACGTTCTGAAGAGGACTTCTAATAATAATAATAATGATTATATTCTTAATGTTTTGGTATTTGTAATGCATTTTTGTGGCACTTGTTGTCGAATCACAGAATCTTAATTATCTCCTGACTTTGAAGTGTTAGTTAATTTATTCACACCATTCACACCGGCATCCGATATCTGGGTCGCCAGTCCTCGCACTATAGCGTCCGCTTCGGTGTATATCTGGACATAAAAAATCAATTCGTTATAAAATGTTTCACAATTTGACAGCGAATGAGAGACTCGAGACCTGATCGAAATGGACGTCGAGGAAGAGTTCTTGTAGGAAACGTCGCGCAGACATTCGGAAATTATAAGTCGACAGTTGAAGACTCACTTCGGAATAAAGACAAATGTCTTCAAATGCTTGCGAACACTTCTGCTTCAAACTAATTGCAAACAAAACATACAATTAATTGAATGACAAAGTATTGAAAAGCAATGCCATACTTGAGAAGTCCCTGTTCGGCCTGTTTCGCGTGCACAGCGCCCCCCAAATTGGTCACAAACCGCAGAATTTCCCGCCGATTAAGTACTTGCGGCGGAATATTCAACGTCTCATTCATAGGAGTTCTTAAGACATTATTAGTGTTATTATTATTCGTCGTTATATTCGCTAATGAAATAGAAATTTAATTTTAAAATAAAGTTTCTAAAAATACGAAAATTGTGTTAATTTACGTTCAGTTGTCAATTGAGAGAAGCCTTTGTTTCTAAAACAAAACAAACAGTTGGAGTCGTTATGAAACTCGAGTCCATTATTGATCATAATTTCATCGTTAGAGAGCCGATCCAAATGTGTTCTCCACTTCAATGTCTCATACTTTACCGAAACATTGGTTTTCTTATGTGTTTCGCTCTGTATTTGATATACAAATCTATTAGCAATTCATCAAATGATAGTCTTTACTAATATCAAAACACTTACTTCCACTTCGAAGATAAGGAACAGTGTCTTCGGTAAACAGAGTCCCATAAATAACTTCATCTCACTTTCGGGTGAATCACTTCTTTCATTGTAATCCATTTGGGAATTCTTGCGCTCAAATGTAACCATAGATTCGACTCTCTCTCGGATCGTGTCCTCCGTCTCTTCGGAAGAGCGCCGGTCATCGAAAGAGGCGGCAGACAGTGACTGAACCCTTCGCTTCTGTATCGCCCGAAGTGTTTGATACCCGTAAGCGTCGACAGCACTGGGAATCGATTCGCTGGCATTCAGTGCTTCTAATTGATTGGCGACAAATATCTTGGATCCGATTCGCGGCAATGTATTGCTGGCCATCGCGGAGGACAGCGAAGACCTAAGCGTTGCGCTCAGCGTTGAGTTACTAATTGAGGACAGACTCGCGATTGGACTCAAATTGTTTCGTTGCCTTTGAGACGGTGTGAGTGTTTGCGAGTCGTAAGAACAGGCGCTCACACCGGAGGTCGAGTCGGCGAAACTTCCCGAACGACTTTTACCCGAACTGTTATGAGAGCTCTCATTGCTATCACTTCTCTCTTCTCTGGCCAATACGCCATAGCATACGCCCAATGGTTCCGATATCTTTCGTTTAGGCGTCTCCTGTACCGCAAGAGTCGACTGTTGTCTTTGTGTGAGACACGCGTTGACGGGAGTGGACTGTGGAGTGGCTGTGTCTGCGATGACACCGCTGTCGTGTCGTTCGGGCTTAAGTGTGGAACCGGAAGAATCTATATCTGATGAAGAAATGGTTGAGTTAACAACAGATTCGCTACTTTTCTGTCTGATCCAAATGCCAGAACTACCGTCACTCTCGTCCGCATCCGTGTTATTCGTGTCCTTTTGTTGAGTAGTCTTCGGTGTTTCGGATGAAGATCGCGGCCGGGAATCGATTACCGACCGGTAGTGGTGTGGAGATAGACTCATAACTCGTGGCAATACTTTTGTGGGTAACGATATCTTTTTGGTTCTTAAATCGCCGTTTGCTTCCACTGTAAGCGAAGGCAAACTTCCAGAATATGTGGCGTCCGTTGAGTTAAAACCAAATGACACAAACTTGTCGGGTGTCATATCGAAGTCCTTTCCGAAGTCGAATCCATGGGAACCGGTGCTCACAGACCAGGCGTGGCCGCGATTCTCGTTCAGAAAGTTCATCAATCCGTCCACTTTTGGTTCTTCGACTAAACAAAACTTCTCGTGATGTGAGTGACGAATGGATTCCCAACCAAACTCTTGGAGCGCTTCCGAGCCCTCATAGGTTGAGGCGAATAAACACAAGACATTAAAACACGTTCCCCTCACCGACAGAATCGACGATTGAGAAGCCATTCGGGCGATCGTTAGCACCATTTCGGCCTCACTTATCAATTGAAAGCCGAGATGAGTGGCGCCCACGTGTCCGACCGCCCAAAGAGCGGCTTTCAGTTTAATTATTCCTAATTCAGTGTTAATATCAGGCGAACGAATCACATCATAGTGTGGTGACAGACAGTCCTCCTTTAGGAGCAATTCGTAGCCATCGCTGGTGTGCGCCAACTGGCCGTACAGATGAGGCGGAATGAATGCTGTCTTATGCGTTGAGTTCTTCTTATCGCTTCGGCGGCCATAAGTTCCGTCTTCGCTGCGATTATGACACGTAAAGCACTCGTTGAGCAGATCCTCAACAATCTTAACGTACTTTAAATTGAAACTTCTTTGCCATCGACTCAACTCGAAGTCAATGAAGTTGGCGTCGCGAAGGAATTTAAAGCCCGACGGGAGAGACAGGTATCGCACTAACAGTAAGAGTCCGTTATCTCCCAAATGCAATAAAGACGGACGCAATTGGATTAAAATCTCCAGATTTTCGGCCGAATCGCACGACTCCTGAAGAATATCGATGGCTGCCAACGAAACGGCCGCATACTTGTCGTAGAGCTGCAGCACTAAGAGTTCAATCGCCCATTTGCTGTAATCACAGACCTGTGCTCTCAGCAAAACCCGTAAATAATTGGTTGCATAGAGTCGGGCCGTTTCCGACACCGATGTCAACACTTTGTTGAGAAGAGTTCGCGAAAAGTTGTTCACTTCGGTTGAGTAGTCGAGCGATGAAACGATTTGCTTCATATAGACGTCATGCGAGGAAAGACTAACCAAATCCAGAAAATACTGATATATAGCAGTCTTTTCGAGCCATTTCTTGCCTTTGTTTGAGTTCGTAAGCCTTCCGATGAACAGGAAGTAGGAGTGACTTAAAGTGCTGAGCAGTCGGCCGGGGCTTAGAATCGCGTTCTGCGGCGGCGTTTCGACCGCTATTTGTGCGAAACAAGTGTCCAAATCGTGGAAAAACTCGTCGACGTATTCGTGAACTTTGGAGTCGTCGGCGTCGAGCAGAAAGTCGAGGAAGTGTTGGCCGACGACACACATAATCCGTTCCCTTTCGTCGGTATTAATGATTTGTGAGAACTGTTTGTTCGATGGCTTATAAAATTGAAGCAATTTCCTGATGAATGCTTTGTGGTTATTGTCCTCCAGTTTCTTGAGAGCATCTCCAGGCCATCGCAATATACTGTCGATCAGATCGAAGTCCCAATTCGTGTACTCTCTCCTCAGGATCTGACAGTTTTTAATCATTTGAATGACCGCTTCGTCGGCGTTCTTCTTCAGATGACTTCTGAGTTTACTTTTGGTTAACTTATTATTTGTATTGTTTTGTTGAGACGGATGACAGAACTGAAGCAATTGATCCAAATATAGACTGCAGGGAACGGGTCCTCTCTTCTTGAGTTCGTGAATACGGTTCAGATTAGAGATGCAGGCATTGGCTAACTCACGCTTCTTAGGCGATGAGCTCATCGACGCGGTCATCAGTGTTGGCAAACTCTGACACCTATGGGAACAGTCGGACGGCAAGAGACAACTCGACAGATGTAACAGTTCTCCCAATAGTATAGTAGCGGACACTGAAGAGCAGCTGTCGTTTAAATTGAGAATTACTGATACAATGGCTTCTATGAGACCATAGTTTATGAATGATTGCAAAAGTAGTGCCAAATAGTTGTTCATAAGATTGACTCTATTTTTAGTAATAAATGGCAAAATAGCCTTTCCTTCTGCGGCAACGAAGCCATCGTAGAGTTGCCACGTGTTCTGCATTGACGATATGTCTGATGACATTAGAGCCGCAGTGAAGTCGTCGGTCCACTCGGGAGTCGACAGATAGAAGAGTTCAAACAGGAGTTCAAGAATATAGCGTTGGATCACAGGGTATGGCAAGTGAAGCATATTTATGAGCGCTTCGATACCGTTAGGAATGTCACTACTGTTGGTCTCACTAATCATGCCATTACTCCTGTCGACCACACTATAGGCCGTAAACACACTGAAGTGATGGGACACACGACACATGTACACAATCCCCGGCCACGACCGCAGTATCGATAGTATAGCGTTCTTACTGGCCGTATAGCGCTGTACTCTCTGTTCATGACTATCACAATATTCACCGCCAAATCCGTGGACATCAGTAAACGGGGCCACAAAGTGCTGCAAATCCAGATCCGAACGAATCAGGTGTCGTGTCTTCGATGAATTGAGCAAAAATAGGACACAACTGATTAGGGCTTCGCTGATGTGATTGGTTTGGTTGGACTGCAACACACTTTTGATGATAGCACTCAAACCGCCGGACGCTTGACTCAACTCCGGATTCATAACAGTGAGTTCGGCGACTGTTGCCCAACACGCTCTCACTATCATATCCCTCTCTTGGACGCCGTCTTTGGCGATCGACACCAAGCAGTGAGTAATGGCCGCCGGAAACCTCTTTGGCGACAGAGACAGCAACTGTCGGACTAGACGTAAGGCCTGGATTCGCTCCAACCGATTGTCCAAAACGATGTCAATCGAGCGGCATATAAGTAACGGCAGATTCACGCGACACACAGATTCGGCCGACTCTTCGTCGCGCAACAGGTATCGCATCGCCCGAAGACCCGCAGCCCTGACCTCTCCGGCCTCGTGGAAAAGGGCCACTCGTATGCTATCGACACACAAATAATCATTTATTAATTATTACGAAATAACAATAAATTGCAAAAACATTTCTCGTTTGGCAATAATAACTGATAAGCGGTTAAACTTTTTATCGCAACTCAATATCCGCTTAAATATCCTTAAAATATTTCCTATTCTCCAAAATGTATTTTTGAGCCAAAAAATTATTTTAATATTTTTAATAATAAGCGATAAATACCAGCAAAATATCTCATCGATAGTGAGTCCGCAAACATCCTTAGATATGGTCGGAACACGACTACAAAATTTGGTGAATAGGTTGAGATAAGCCAAACGCTGCCCTTTCGACACACCATCCCTTCGGGTGATGTTATATAAGATTTCTTGCAAATTCTCGTTCAGTGCTAAACATGTAATCACAGAAAGACATTAAACTCAGTAACAGAAAATGGTTTCAAACTAACGTTTAGTCCAATCGATAGCGATGTTGTCGTCTTCGCTGTCATAACGATCTGAGCGAAAAAATTTATTGAATAACATTATTATTGACACAAATCACTCGCTCATCAAATTAGTAAATCAATTGTCATTCAAATATACATATTATAAAAACTAATGGCAAATAATAGGCTGTGGTTTGCGATAAAAATCACAGCAATTGAGTGCATAATTATTACCACAGAAATCAAATAGTTTACCATTTAATTGGTATATAAGATATGAGCACTACTTGTCATCTAATATACACACGAATTACATATTTATGTTAACATATAATACATTACAATATAGTTATAGTAATTATGATTATTATAACAATAATTGTCATAATAATAATAAAAGAGACAATCATTTAATATGACTATTAATGATAAGATTAGTAAATCATTAAATCATTTACTTCTTGTCCTCCCATTCCTTATATTACTTCTATTGCATCGATATATTGAAGACATGGTTCACATGTGATCCGGACATCAACGCCGACCGCACACTGTCTTCAATGTCTTCATTGTCTGCTGAGGTCTAAACAATACAATCATTTGATATAATGGTTATAATAAGTGGCGATAACTATAATATTGACAGCATTTCAAAGACAACTGTCATTTGAGGGCCACTTTGTCACCACTTTTGGAGGCATCAAAACATAGTGTCATTTAAATCATCAAATGGTTTGTGGTTTACAAGCATTCACTCAAACCCTTAACCAAATTGATTGCCTATTGATTGCCAATTGAACCGCAAAATCATTAATACATAAAGTAGTCATTCATTAGTAATCACAACACAAAACACTATTCACTCATTTAGCGAGTGATTAGTAAAGCATTTAATCGTTCATTCAATCATTGATTTCAATGTTATGTTAATACAAACACTTCTCTCTCCCTCTCTCTCCAGTTCTCTCTCTCTCTCTCTCTCTCTCTCTCTCTCTCTCTCGCATTGAAAACATTGCATTCATTATATATTTTACACAAATTTCGTGTCTTTTTTACGATACCATTAAAAAGTGGAAATGATTTTAGTGTCACTTATTGTAACATTTTGTCAATGAATTTGTTGGACACAAACCGGCACTCAATTCAGGCTTTCATTCAATTTTCTTCATTAACTGTTGCATTGAATGCAAACATTTTTGCCATATTTTGTGCGCTTATATAATATGCAAATGTATGTTATTTTTAAGACAAATAAACACTTTTTATATCTCGAGTATTATTTTTCAAGCACTGCATTGATTGAAGTTTGCGTTCATTCAGATATTTCCACGAATTGTAACAAATATGTTGTATAATGTGCTATACATGTACTTTACAGCACCATATAATTCAAATGTTAATTAGTTTGAAATGCAATTTTGCTTCAAGAATAACAAAAGTTCTTATGGAGAGAGAGAGAGAGAGAGAGAGAGAGAGAGAGAGAATTTGAATGGATTAAGAAATGAGTTGTTTTGCAAATACTTTGATGTTTGAATATTTCTCATTAAAACTAATTTTACGCTACGATAAGATTGCCTATGAGTTGATGACATGGTTTCTAATTAACACTCGAGAACTAAACTATTTATATATACTTTGGTTACTATACCATAATATTCAGTACAATATATAATTACACTTATATTACTGTTAACTTCGATATAAAAAGAGTAAAATATATGCTTATATTACAATTTTATCATTTAATAATGAATTAATAGTGTCCTTCACTTACTTATTTAATAGAAAGCATATTATTTGCAAAATTTTGCATTTAAAGGAAAGTATATTAGGTTTCGATCAGTTCTGTACTTTAATTAAGTAATTAATTGACAAAATAATCCATGAATTCATTATTACATAACCATAACTATTCTCTTCAGTTTGTGAGGCCTTTTGAGAATCGACATCAAGACATAAGTCTTTAAATTAAACACTTTAATTGAGAGACAAATTCAGTAATAGATTGATGTTGGTGAAATCAAGTTCATAGATACAGTAATATTTGTATTAGGGCAGTTTATGTACAATACCATTTCCAATTTCATCAATTTACTCACAAACTATAGTTGTCAGAAACTATAGTAATTTAAAATTGCGTTTAAAAATCTAATGTAGTGTTTGATTATTTTAAATATAATATATAACTTATATAATATAAGTAATTGCAAATTTTGTTAATTCTGTCATGTTTAAATGCATTACATGTACATTACATTTAGTGATTTTTGTTTTAATCGTAAAATTTAAAGTATATTTGTTTTGCGTCACAATTATTGCCTTTTTTATTGATTGTCATAAATATTGTAAAAATAATGAATTTTTTAAAACCAGACTAACAGTAGACCAACTTTTAATATAAACTTCGTTTTTGATGTTTTAATTTTTAAAGTATTTTTAAACGAGTTTGCAATTTATTTTTAAAATATTAATATTTCTTAAATTCAGATTAATATCATATAAATGCTTAAAAATTTGAAACAATATATATCTAAAATTAGAATTTTTAAAATCAAATTAAAATTGTTTATTTAGTTTAAAACGTTACAATTGACATATTGTATGAATATTTAACAAATACATACGTAACACTTACAGTACTATGAAATTTAATAAATTAGTTTAAAACACATTAAAAACATTAAACAGAATTAAAATATTTATAAATATTAAAAGAGTAATAATAGAAATTGTATTGAAAATTGTGAATAATATTCAGAACGAGAGCAAACTTATAGATAATTTAGGTAAAAGGTATAGACTCAAAACTCCCGTTCTTCTACAGGTTGTTCTTACACCCGCTCACAAGCCGGTTGCTGACCTAGAGTTGGAAAAACGGCTAAAATTCGTCCTTATTGAGTTGTTTTGTCCATTCAATGTTGTCTAACATGTATTTGCGTTTCTTCAAGTCCTCAATCTTCTTGATGTCATTGGCTTTGAGTGGTATTTGAACGTTAGGACTGAGGCGGTAGTCGCGGATGTCTGTCGGCAGGATTCCCAGCCATTTGATGGCCGGCACCACCAGATTCGGCGACTCGTACGACAGCGCGAGTGAGCCGTGTCTGAAAGTGCACAGAATCTCGAGGCCGTGAGCGTCGCCGTCCACCAAACCGAAGATCGGGATCGAGAATGTGTTCCACAGAATGTGAATGAATGCGCGCGTATTCATGTCCGGATAGCCGTGACCCGTCACCTGTCAACCAATCACAACTTGATTTTACTCTTAATATTCATTTCTCATTCAATGGATACCATAATCAATGGGTATTTCAGGTGAATCTTAAGATCGATGAGCTGTTGGAAAGTGGCGTCCTTTTCCACAATCAACACGAATATGGCGTTGGACTGCATTCGGGAGAGTCTTTCGGTGTCGTTCGGGATTGCGATGCCATTCGGCGAAGTGAGACAATCGGTGAGCACTCCGTTCGTGTTCTGGAACTGCAAGTGACCGAACACTAGGCCTGACCACCTGCTGCGCTACACGTCAAACCAAGCGCTGTGCACATCTGACGTCCGGTTCAGCAGCTACTAGAGTAGGTGGTGAGCGACGCTCGCTAGTTTTTCGTATTGCAAAACCATTATCTCTAGAGTTTTTGTACAGTAGATGTCTTTCACAATGAGATTCAAAATGATTTTCAACACAAATTTCAATTGCTTTTGACGTTTGGTTTGTGTCCGCACTTTGTGTTGCGGCATATCTTTCAGCGTAATTCCCGTCCCAATCCAATAGTCAGTGTTTGTCCACTTGTGTCGGTTCACAATCTGATCCATAAATAAGACAATCATTACAATCATTCAAACAAACGGACAAATATAATAAATGCAAAAATGTATATAACTTTTCATTGAATTCATACCTGAAGTGAACCACAATTATTGACATCAATATCGCATACATTTATCGCTTGATTTTCAATATCCGATGTTTGGCTTTCATTCACCGGTTCTTCGTATTCGTAGTCGTATTTAATATCACTGAACTTGTAGTCCAAGTCATCGATGGATTGAATGTATTGTTGAGTAAATGTGGGCATCTGTTCAGTCATCTGCGACTCACGAGTTGTCTCATTGATTGCATCGTAAGAGTAATTCATTGGATCAATGGATTGGCTTTCCTTACACGTGAATAACGGCTCTTTCCGAATGAATGGATTGTCGTATTTGTATTCCCAACTCTTCTTCGGCTTAGGAGTCGGCTTAAGACTGGGCTTAAGATTGTTGTCGTGGGTCTCGAAAGCGGTATAGAAGTCATCATTTGTACTGAATTTAAAATTGTTGTCATCAATGGATTGAATGTATTGCTGAGTAAAAGTGGGCACTTCTCGGCACCGTTTGGCCGGCGGCTCATCGCTCGTCGCCAAGTCTTCGTCGCTGTTATAGTA